TTAAAATATTAGGCATTCATTTGTTTTATTTTTGAGGGGAATTAATCATCCAATGACTTCTCCCGCCTTGAGTTAGGCAATAGGGAGTGTCAGACTTACTGACTAGAAATCACACCGTTCTTAGGTCGACTTAGGTCTTCCACTTTGGGTATCAGCCCTACTGGGCCACATCTGTTGTGATCTGATGGCTCTGTGAGGCGGTGAAGGAGTAATAAACAAGCATAGAAGCTTTCTCATTTGTAATATTAGTAAGATAGTACTTACTAACGTTAGATAGACACTCATATTACTAGTCACTCGCGTGGTTATTCTTACTCAGTAATAATGCATAAAGTCGGTAGGTGAAGCGACGTTCCAAAGAGGCCGGCTTCCAGATGACGTGGTAAGAATAGGCAGCCCGTACTTGTGCACCACCTTTATAGGAGTATAGGTGACCTACATCCTTAATATCAGCGCATATTTTTACATCACACAACTTTATGTCTACCATTTCCGATGTTATCTGCACTCAATGTTGAAAGATGTTTGTTTTTTCTTATCTAAAATAGATGTAAAGAATTTGTGAACAGAATAAAAAAAGAAAAAGATTCAATAGGAATTCGTAGCGGAGTTTTCCCTTTATTTTCAATTCTTATTACAAATCGCGGCTGACTAAATAGACGGCGGTGATGTCCCGCGATAATTGAAAGATAATATTTTTCGCATTGCACACTGTGACGTGATTGTGGTGCAGATCCTTTCACTAAAGAAAAGCCTTTGAGATGTTTGAGATGAAATGTAGTTTGCGATTAATCGCCTTTGAAAGGCAAAAAAGAAAAGTTCGTGTAGACGTTCTTAAAGAATAGAATGTTCTTTTTGTGAAAAGTATTCTTTGCGACTTATGTTCCAATAATTTAGACTGGGCGATAAAATTATTCTGTTACCTTTAAATTGCAAAATTCGAGCGAGTTTTTAAAATGTATTTTTCATATGTCTGGTTATGAGAGGACAGTAACGTGTGACAGTTAATTTTTGTACAGAATTGCAACCGTCAGCGGATTAACTTAACTACCTCTACAATAACGGTTAAATGAAAGAAATAAAAATAAAGTTGCTGTTTTACTGAATAAAAAGAATTTTGCATGATTGTATTTTTGGATTCAGTCAGTAGAAAAAAATATTTTTTATTGTTCACAACTAAGGAATATCTTCTCACATAGATGGAGTTTAAAATTCACCTCACTTCGTATAAAATATGAATATATAACTACATTATGTATGTATGAATAAAAACTATGATATTTCTACACTTCATATCCAAGATTTATTCAACACTAATGGAAGGATTACGAGACTTTTATTTTACGTTATAAAAAGCTATTACAGAATAAAGCCATTTCACTCGAAGATTGTCATTTTAATATAAACAACACATTATTAATTTAAACGCACCACCGACAGCGAACACGAAATGAGATAATGAAATCGTAAAAAAATGAAAAAAAAGCACAAACTTTTTATAAATATTTTAAAACGTCGTAGAATATTAAAGAGTATTACTGGTGCGGAGTATAATACCTCGTGAAAATTGCCACCATAAACTCAACCGTTGTGAATTACGTTTTCAAAGTGTGGATTTTATTATCTAGCCGTTATGTGAAAAATCGTCGAGTGAGTTCGGGCGCAGTCGGCAAACTTCGTGCCGATCCATCATTATTGAAAGTTTATAAATTGCTTCCTTCAAGTTTGTATGTACTCGCAGCCATTCGTAGTGCTGCTTCAATTGATAACTTATAGGCAACATTACAGGCTGGCTGGTCGCGAGTGAACCAGTTCACTTCAAGTAACAAACTGCTTAGTTTTGTAAATAACATAATAGCACGCCTTATATTCGTCAAAGCTGTAGTGAGTTGGTATGTAACACCGACTTTTCACTAGTTACGATTCCACTGTAATGTCCTTAATAAGGAGCGAACCTCTTTCTATAATTAGTTAAAATATTCAACGAAAATGATCAAACGGTAAGCACGATCACATTCACACCTAGTTATTTAATACAACAGTACATTTGAACATATTTGCCTTTCAACCGCATGACGCTGTAGAATCACATTTGCATTTCTCGTGGAGTTCGCTCGAGTGTCTACTAGTGTACGAGTAATTACATGATGTTCGCTCGCAGCACTGCATTACTGCGTTTCTAGCAATTGACCGGCACAGCTTATACTGCCTACTAATCATTAGGCACACTCTGTTTAACTAGATCAGCATGAAACTAGACATCATCATCATTATATGCCTAGGTACTGTCCTAGGCCGGTCTAGCTTTTGTTCCGGCTCCTCAATACACCGCTATAGTCTATTGGCTATCGACTTTACCTATTGTTGTCGATAACAATCTACTATGATATTAGAGTTTACCTAGATGTTGAGGTGAGCTATTCAGTTGGTTTGGATCTTATTAGTAAAATGTAATTAAGTACTTAAGCTGATTTTGGTGTTTGTAATTTCTTGGTATGATCGACTCCTTCGTTTGTAGTACTAGAAAAACTGGCAAGAAATAGTTTCGGTGTCCATATCTCAATGATTCATTAAAATATTGTTTATTATTTAATTGTCATCGTTATATCATACAACAGTGTTGTGACCTAGACTACAAAAGACTAGCTTAAAAACAATGTTTTCCAAGACATTTCATTTCTGCCCTTTGTTTAAATTTGCAGTATTGTTCTCAATTTAGTTAGTCAATTGAAACTCGATACAATTTAACAACATTTTAGTTAGATTAAAACTTACATCTAGGAGGAGAATTTTGATACAAATTCATATTTGTGTTATCTGGTTCACGGGTGCTATTTGTCCGTTCTACGGGCGGTTTGAGTCAGATTAACTGAGCTCGGGCTCCGGCTCGGGTCGGTCCGGTGTCGGGCTCGTGTCGGTCCCGTGTCGTGTCGCTATGTGAAATGTTAGGTTAATATTCTGTTCAATCTCTTTTTTCTTTACGACGGATTATGATGTCCGAGCTGGTCTCGCTCGTTAAGGTAGTGTCGAGGTGACATGATTAGGAATACGGAACTCTATATTTTAAACTCTATTTTGCCATTCTGTGTGACGCTGTGTGAGAGTGTGCCTAATGATTTTGTCATATCTTCTCTTACAGTAAAAGGTACTCGTAAAAAGTAAACTAAACTAAAGAACTAAAGGTATACAATACATCGATATACCTGTTAATGGGTAAAACAAAAATGAGAAAATTAAAAAGATACTTTGCAGCTTTGCTAAGTGCTACTTTACGCTACGCTACAGTCTTCTTTAACTGTATACAATATTGAGTATACACTACATACTCAATATACTACTATAAATAACATCGTGTATCGTACATTGATTCATCAGTATCGCTCGTACCTCCCAGCAGGCGCGCTGCTCCCGCTATCTATCCATCACTAGACCCAGCATCATACACACACGTTCATCCTGTATGGTGTAATGTATATTCACTTGTATCACAAATAGGAGTAGGTATAGATATTACACTCTACAATAACTGATTGTTACATGCTTATAATACGGGTGTAGTTATAATATATTTTGCAATTAAATAGTACCCTCAGATGCTGCTATTTTTGAGGCACATAATTATATTGACTGCCTTGTTGACCGAGTGGTGTAAAGTGCGGCTACAAGGCAAGGGGTCCCGGGTTCGAGTTCCGAATCGGGCAAAAAATTCTGGGTTTTAAAAAAATCTCAGCAGTAGCACGGAGTTTGGAAATGTGCTCGGTATAATTAACAGGCTCACTCCCTATTACATGGGGCTCATAAGATAAATAGCGAAAAGTGAGTATTATTGTACTATGGCACCGTAACCCTCTGCCATCGGGGATAAAAAGCGTAATGTTATGGATAATTATATTGTAATAAAATTATCGTGCGAACAGCCTTCATTGAAACTTTAAATTCTAAAAAGAAGAAGTCTATCTTGCCAGTTATCTGAGTAAACTTATATAACTAGATCAACGTCAATTCGTTATTAAATCAATTTTGTACAGAATTTGTTTAAAGTATAAAAGAAACAAAGTGATAAAAGTTGAAAGACAAAAATCACACTGAAAGCCTGCATAGATAATTTTAAAACACTAGCTTTAAGTATTTTCATAAAAGCTTAGAGAGTCTCGCAATTTTATTAAACAATACATAGATTAAGATCAGTTATAGTAAAAAGACAATGAACGAGGCTCATAACCCGTGGCTGAATGTACAATAAAAGTATCATACAACGTATTTAAATGTAGCCAATATTATTTTATCATAGAACCTCTTTTGATATTCTTTGAAGCCACTATAATAGGGCTCAGGATCTGTTACCATATAATGCTACGATTTCAGACTTTGTGCTATTATTTACTAAGATTTTTTTTTAAATCGAAAACTTGATAACTCTTTGTTTAATCCGGAAATTCATTGTTCGTCACTCGATCAACAAAGCATGTATTTTACATATTCTTTTAACAAATACAGACAAGACAGTAACATGCTATATAATACTATCCTCTAGAATTTGATTTTAATATGACGACAAAATAAATAACGTCGTTGGATAGTGAGTGAAGAATGTCTTACCTTTGTATAAGTTCAGTGAATTGTGTCGCAGACCGATGCCTCGTAAACTTTTCTATCGCATACTTTTGTATAGAGTTAGAGCTTTTTAAAGGAGTATATATTGCACTATAAATATAGATTAGCGATGGGTTCTATGTCTTTAAAATCAGAAATTCTTTTTGCCTACTAAGTTTAAAAGTAAAGAAAACAACACATCTTCGTCTTTAATGTAAGATGACCTTACCCATATTATATATACCATTTGATGTTCTCTATTCGTTGTTAATGGGATGCAAGACGATCTTCCTCAGAATCTGGAAGTCATCTCCGGAACAAAAGCATCCCACTTAATCTTAGTTCAGCCCTAACTCTCCATGTGATTCGTTTTAAATAATGTCTTTAACATCAACGTGTTGTTCCAGTTTCCCCAATGATCTGGGTGCCGAACCAGCTGGTGGGAGCTCCAGCCGGCACTGACGTCACAGTGGACTGCCACACGGAGGCGCACCCGCGCGCCATCTCTTATTGGGTGTACGACAACGTCATGGTGCTGCCCACCAAGAAGTACGCCATCAATACTGAGGAGAACTCATACAGGTACGGAACACATGAATGTAAACTTTCTAATTATGAAGAGAGACGAATTTTCATCCATTCATGTTATGTAGGCACAAGACAAGTATAATTCTAGAAGTCGTGAAATTGGAACACATAGGCTTACCTCTCTGCCTGACTCAACAATCGATTTAAAGTTTAAACTCGAAAATCTTGCTAAAATAATACGAGTTTACAAATTACGACAATGCAATGTGCCAAATTGAAACTTTGCATGACGTCACGCTTTTGTAGATTGTTCATTATGACGTAATACCTAAATCCTAAAATATTTTACATTATAGTGCACTAGTAAAATTCAAACATAATACAACATCACGCCATTTATGCCCGAAGAGGTAGGCAGGCACGTTATAGTCCCACTGTACAATATAACAACCACTTTTCACTATTTATGTTGTGCGTCCCATGTAATAGGGGGTGAGCCTATTGCCATATACACAATTCCACACCCCGAGCTACTACTGAGATTTTTTTAAAAGCCATTAATAGAAAGAAAAAACATTTATTCAGCACCATATTTTGCCCGACCCAATAATCGAACCCGAGACCTCTTCGGCATTCGCACTCGACCACTCGGTGAACATGGCAGTCAAATTCAAAGCGAATGATAACAAAAAAAAAATTATAAACTCAATCGTAACAAAAACTATAAAATAAAGTTGTAAATAAATTAATAGTTTACTAAATGGATAAGATAAGATGACGTCACACCGAGCTGTTACCTCTTCCACCAGTACATTACAAAATTAATTTTAACTCTCAAACGTTCAGCTAATGGTATCATTCTATAAACTGTATTAACGTTTATTAGTGCTCCTGAGCCATTTCAATGGACGAGAGATATTCCTATAAAACAAATATTGAAATGAAGAGAAAATATTCGAGAGAACTATTTGCTTACGTAATAACTATGTATGTTCAGATACTGACTGACTTTGAGATCTGAACTGAACTGATAACATACTAGAGTATAGATTTTCAAGGAGAATATAATCTAATGTATGTATTTCTAGCTTTATATAAGTGTATTGGTATTTATTACTCATTCCAGGAATTACAGTCTCTAAGGAGTTTACGTTTCAATATCAATAAGTTTCAATATTTACGTTTAGGTTTTAAAAGAATTTATTTTCTTAAAAGAACATAATATTTTTATATAGTAAACTTAAATATGAGCCAAGTTTCGTAGTAACATCAAGAAAATTGGGAAACATGCTTCGGCACAAATGGGCCGACTCGATCTGAATGATAGAAGAATCGGCCTCACAGAAAACCGACGTGAAACAACGATTGCGTCGTTTCACGTCGTGAGGTTACCGGAGGTCCAATAACCCCTCATTATTAAATCTATTTTTTAAAAGAATTATTTTAAACATATTAATTAATGATAATCGATTGATTTATATGTTTAATACCTAAATATCAGTACCGGATTATTAAATCTGTTAAAACATATTTTTTTTTGTAAAATTTTCCACTGAACCTATTTGTGCAATTTTAAAGTAACTGCCGAATGGGTTCATTGGAAATATATCATGTGTTTATTACGCCCAATTTACTTCTTCCTAGAATTTTTTCATTTGTAATCAACTTTTCAAAGGTTTTACCTTTATTTTATATTTTGCTTTAATCTTTTAACATTATACTTGTGATACCATATACACCTTGGTTTTGTCGAAGTTGACAGTCAAAGTGTATTTAATTTTACATGCAATAATGCACCTACTTACGTTATACATATTATCATTACAACGTTCTGTTATTTGTATGGTGCGTCAGGTATGTTACATTATTCTCACATGTGTGTACAATATTGGAATATGTATCAGAGCAGTGTAAAATAGACTTTTTTTAAAAGAGTAACGAATGGAGTTTCTTGCTCGTTCTTCTTCACTCGAATCGACATTTTGGACCGAGCGCCTAGCTTCACTGACGGACAGACTGACAGACTATTATTTATTTCATACTTGTTGATGTTTCAAAAGTATCAAATTATGGTTTAATTGAAATAAATGCTTTTGAGTTTGTGTTTGAGTGGTTTGTAAAGTTTAAGGAACATTTTGTATCACTGGCATGCTTTTCGACCAGACGCATGAATCAGTTGATTGAATTGACAAAACTAAGGAAGAATCGCAGAACTGGGCAGTGACCAGTCCGCAATTTTTTCCTACATCTGTGTAGTGGTCGGAGTTTATAAATGCTACTTGAACCTGCCAGGTTAAATACGACATACGTACACTACGTAAAAAATTTAATACATAACGTAATTACAACTTGACAAATCTAAGTTGGACGCTAAACGACGGGCGTGTAGTCGCCTCACGCCATTTCAGCAAACAAGTAAATTAGACGCGCCATTTGGCTTCACTGTTAACTGTCTTATAAATACATTACTAATTCTGTTATTATTATTTTATTTAATCTTATTGCGACATAATGCTTTGTGTTAATTAACATATCAACATTATCAAACTCGATTTATTTTACTTAATAACTGGAACTATCACGTCTTAAGTGTTATGGGGTCCTTAATCTAATTCAATTAGACCAAATAGATAAGTCAGTAAAAAATTGAAAAGACGTAGATTTCATCATTTTATTAATTAAACATAACATAATAACATAACATCACGCCTTTTATTCCCGGAGACGTAGGCAGAGGTGCACATTACGGTACTTAATGCCATTGTACACACCCACTTTTCACTATTTATGTTATGAGTCCCATGTAATAGGGGGTGAGCCTATTGCCATTATAAGGGTTAAGTTAAGTCTGTATAATCTGAATTCATGCATGATGAGTCAATAAGCGGTCTTATGTAATTTACTTTAATATATTCCTGTACTTGTTATACCGTATCAGATTAAATAGTAGAGCTGTCTCGTTAGCCTAGAGGTCGCAATTCCTCATACCATCAAACAAAGTTCCTCACCTATTCTCCGTCAGTTTTCAATGTGAAGTTCAAAAATTACTGAACAGTTTTTAATAAAATTTACCAAATGTTAGTTGGATAAATTGTATGGAGTGATCCTAAGGGTAAAGTAAGTTCTAAATATGAATAAATAAAAAGTTTGGGTCAAACGAAAGTATATGAGAAAATGTAATACTTTCTAAATTAGAACTATTTGCGACGACTTGATTAAATTTATTAAGTTACGAATATCTCAGTAATGACTCGCAAACTAATATGAGAGTAAACCCTATGAAATAAACTGCTCATTGTGAAATAACAAATAGTGGGCGTTTACATACATACACCTCTCGTTGTACTTTGAAATACCACGCGTGAATACATATAATGTTATATTATGATAATCATTGTGTGGTTCAAAGTTCAACCAATAGGTTAAAATTAAAAATGTCATAATTTACATGACTAAGGGCCGATTTTTCAAAATCAGTTAATTCTTAACTGTAGAATAAAATTGACAGTTTATAGTATGGAAGAAGTGCCAAATATTCAGTTATTCCTCAGTTAAAATTAAACTGAGCATTGAAAAATCGGCTCTAAGTTTTAACGCATATACGAATTGTGAAAATAAAAAGTCTTTATAATGGTTTTGGTTAAATTGAGGCCTCAAACCAAATAAGACCTCCACATATTATTGCACTCCTCCAAGTATCACCAGTCAAGAATACCTCGGGCTCTGTCTTGGCGCTTTTGTCTAATTTCTATTAATGAAGTGTTATATTGGAACTCAAATAAAAGGTGTTATGTACTTTTATGAAAATCTTCTAAAAAGTAAACAGAACTTGGTTATAAATGGTTACACGCATCGTTCTTCATAAAATTATAATTATGTTCTAACATAAGATATCTCATTCCCCCATTCATCTGTACCTCTTATTCCCCCAGAGCCCACATGAAGCTGACAGTCCGCAATCTACAAACGGGGGACTTTGGCAACTATAGGTGCATCTCTAAAAATTCCCTCGGGGAGACCGAGGGCTCAATCCGTCTGTACGGTAAGTGAAACTAACGGCATTACGTATTCTCATTGTAATTAGTGGCTCAGTCTCAGAGATAGAGCGCTACCATTTGCTACTGATTTGAGACTTTGTGACTACACTATGTGTTTTATTAATGTAGTGCTTATTCCTTAAGTACAGTTAGACTGCTATGAGATTTCTTGAAATGATGTTTGAATGAAGATAGTGTTGTTTGTTATGCAACGGCTGGATACCCCGCATGTTGGGAAACACATATTGGATCCGATACGCAAATTTTTATCCCTTGTTTGACATAAGATTTCTACGATATACTTATAAAAAAATAATGAAATTGTGAAAAAAATTAATAAAAATTGTCATGTTATATACAGGATTGTATCACGTAGGTTATATATATATGATTAAATTACATCACATCATTCATGTGCTATTTTGAGTATAAGTAATTAATTATTTTTTTGTTTCGTAGAAATCCCAATGCCGTCGACGTCGCCGAAGGCTACGGAAATGAAAAGCAATGCCAACAAAGAGAGTAAGTTCTTGTTCTTATGTCTACGTATGTACATTTGTACATTTAGATATAGATACCATGTCATATTTCGTTAATGAATTTGCAGCTTTAATGTTGCGTGATAAAGTTGCAATCTGTTAAATTTTTTCTAAATTCTTAAGCTGTGTGTACAATAACAATAGCTATTATGTAAACGGACTGTATTTGTGTTATAAATAATAATTTTCGAAAACGATAGTATTCTAGAGTCAAGTTTACTCATCTTATTTCAAAGTAAACTAAGAATTACATAACAGGTGACTAAACATATAAAAAAATGGTACCCAATGAATCGCAAACAATAATAAGTGATCGAACAATATTTATTATAACTACAACGAAATTATTTTTCGATCACTTTTTTACACAAATTGATTAGTAACACCTAAATCTAAACTACATAGATATAACGGATATAAACACCTAATACATAGTAAAATAAGTGGGAACACACACACGTGCACACATTTCTCGGAGATTTCACAAAGTTGTCTAAGTTTGCGGCGCGGCGTGGTGTGGCTTCGAGACAGTAAACATGTAGTAATGACTAATTTAACTTTCGTGTTGACTTCTACCTACATCGTCAATGGATATAACTTAGGATTAGAACATAGTGAACATACATTCTTGATATTTATAAATTAGACTTAAATAGTACTTATGTAGTATTTTTTATGGGATATAAACGAGCCGACGGATAAACCAGTAAACGAGCCGACGGATCACCTGATGGTAAGCAAAAATAATAGCCGGACTTTACGTTTTCGCATATCATGGACGGTTTTCAATGTTGCTAAGCAAGATGCATTTGTCGTTTGTGGGCTGCCTGTTATACATTTATTTCTTCATTATTTCTCTACTGTTATAAAGAATATAGTGATTTCACTTTGTTAAAAGCATAACGTCATAGTAGCAGCTTGGTTAATAGAATGATGAAATCAGTAAATATTCCATATAACAATTTAGTTATCATAATTTGACGGAGTCCATCAGTTGGAATTAAAACTATAAAGCGTGAAACGTGCGGGCGACGATAGATAGAGAAGATAAAATTACATGTGCGTAATTACGAGGGCTATCGTAAAACAAGTCATTAAAATGTTAATTAGACCGATAGTTTACCGAGCGCCGATGAGCGCATTAAAATCACCCGCAATGATTAAACCTTTTGCAATTTCGAGATAATACGCGCTGCGGCGCCAGCGCACTGGCTGGTATTAAGCGACAACCTTTTGTTATTAGGTTATTAGGCCAATGTTCTCTTCATTAGCTTTAAAATATAGTTGTAATCGGATTATAAGTACTTAAATTCCTTCGTTGAATAGGAGTGGATCACCCTGATGGTAAGCAATTACCGTCGTCTGTGGATACCTGTAACATCAGATGAATTACAATAGCGTTTTGGCGTTTGAGGATTCAGACATTATGGCCTTCCTCCGGTATCTTCACTCATTCAACGAAACAAAACGCAAGCGTTGTTTCACGCTGGAGTTTTCTAAAGGCTGTGGTATCACTTCAATCACAGAAGCATAAATCTCCCACGTGTAAAGTGATAAGAATTTTAGCAATCAGGATCACAAGTTCTGTTCGCATGCTGATCAACCGACCGAGCTGTTAGCTAATATTTATTTGTCATATTATGCATAATTCTAAAACATTTCATTTGTATTGAAAGAATGTTTATCGAATTGATTAAGTAATTACCGATAATCATTGTTTCAATGTAGCCAGCAGTTTTACCAAGTTGACAGAAAAGAAAATTTGATTTTCTAAATAAATCGACTCAATTCTAATTGAAACTGGAACATTTTCTTTGAATTTCCAATAGTTCTAAGAGCAAAGTTTGCTTGCGTTTATTCTGTTACACCTTGGCTAAACCTGCTGGTAGTTGTTTGATCACATTCATGGTAGCTGCATGTTGAGACGAGGCGTGTTGCAGGCGTGAGACGCGTGAACGTGAGCCGGTCCGTGGCGCGTGCTGAGCCAGGCACGGAGCGGCCGAGCGTGGTGCGCGCGCAGCTCGACCGCGCGCCCGACCGCGACGCCGCGCACCACGTCTACCGCCCGCCTCACCCGCAGCACGTCTCAGGTAACCCGAACAAACTCACCAATGGATCACGTACAAACAATAACCTGCTATTTCGAAGCCTCTCATTTTTTGTTAATTTCAGTCATATCTCACATTAAGGTCTAATGTGTTGTGACAACATGTTTCATGTAAAAGAAAATACAATCTTCTAGATACAAGGGCCTTCAAGACACTCTCGCTTCATACAGTATATTAGAAACATGTTGAATACAGGCGAAAATATTTTTCCTGTTCAATACCTTCAGGAAAAACATCAGCATACAGTCATACCGTACCTACGAGAATCAATCTGTTGCTTCAAACATTTCATCAACATTGGGATCCGTGGGCTGAGGGAAGCGGAGTGTGTAATGTGTCGCCATGTCAGATATTGAAGGAAACATTCCCCGAGGTGTGGCGACACACAGCTCAGTTTATTAACCTCTCGGCCCGCTAACGATCAAACCCCAACTTTACGCATTGTTGACTCCGCAACTTATGTCCCGCCGTACGCAACGTACGCAACGTACGCACCATTTCACGCATCATCGTACATTGTTATGTTTATTTTATCACAATCTCGGAACAGGAAAATCATATTACTTACATTCCGGATTGACTTCTAGCGCAGTGTATGGTTTGTTTCTTTCAGTTTCGTTAGAATAAAGTTAATAGGAGTCTGCAATGTTCTATTTTCATGACTATTCAACTAGTGAATAGACCAAGTAATACATTATTGATAGTATTACAGAAGAAATGCTTACAAGTACTTTATGGCATTAGTACTGTTTTCGTCTTTACCTTTCAGTGCTTATGTTTTCCTTATTCCACATTTGTGTTTGTGCGAGTTCCGCCTCCATCAAATAGTACCAATCCATCAAACAACCAAAACTTAATACATAAAGCCTTTAATATAATAGCGCACAAAGCGAGTCGACTCACAGGAGGCTTTACTTACCTCTTTGTATTCTTTGTTACAATATACTGCATTATTAAAAACGTCTCTTTCCCGTCTCATGGTAAAAAATAAATGTGGCCGGAGAAGTCGCGGCGGAATGGCTTGTGGAATATGTTACGAGGCCTGAACGTCGCTATTGTTTGAATGACTCCAAATGCTAAGAGCATTTCGGGCTTTTATCTTTGCACAAGGAATTGTGGATCCACTCGCATTACCGACCGTGAGCGCATACGACTTTATTTGTCTGCGCGACTAGCTGACTCGCTGCTACATCACTCATTCTTGTATCATTTCAGTTTATGGCAGCGTGGTGTAATACATATGTTAGAAATATTCTAGATTGTTATTTTGTTTATCTAATATGTTAACGAAAGGCTTAACAGAGTAACATCATTCGCAATGCCTATTTTCCTTTCAATTTACTTATCAACCAGAAAAGGGGAACCTATAAATAAGACAGTTTATAATTTGTATGATAAATATTCTAAGTTCAGTAAAAGTCCATACGAATGTTACTGACAGACTGTTTTCACAAGTTTGGGGGAAATTACAAAGAAATAGTTTTAGATTTGGTCACGACCCGACGACGCGACGGGGCGAGGGATACACTGGTAGCAACATTTTGGAGTACATTATTATTGTAACAGTGGCTCAGGCGCTGCGGTCTACGCACACACACACACATACACACACACGACGCATGCGACAGACAAGTGCGCAGCGTCGGTGTGTCTCCGCCCTAGCGCACAGTCTTGACTACTGCGGTTGAGATCCACCCGGCTCGCTTTCCCGTACACCCAAATAGAGATTAAACATTCAACGAGTTCGCATACACACTTAACCCTCATAAATATTCAGTGCAGACCGCGTACAATCAATTCTTGCAGCTCTCGCCCTCCACGAAAAAGTGTTTGAACAGCCGAATAATATGATATCAAATAGAGACGCCTAACGTTTGAATAAATATTGGGATATGAAACTTGAATATCTTTATCTCGAATTTGGCTTTATTTACCTCCGGTACGCTTTGTTGCGTGCGAATATTGGCGATTGATTTATAACCGCGCCAACCCTTTCGTCCCGTCATGGAAGTGAAATCATTGCATTTTCTGTTGGCAGTACAATTTATTACTATAACAATAATACAATATGATGCCAAAACAAACATTTTTGCTTTTTCAAAATCCATTTGGATTGTGTTATCATAATCTTTGTGATAGGTATCACAAAGAGCCCGTGTTTATGGTGCTATGTAAAATAACGCACGAACTCAAACACATCAGGGTTGTAAACAAAACAAATCCCATTGTTCGCGGAGCTGGGAAAGTAGACCGTAAGCTGTTGAAACGCTCTTATCGTGGTAAACAAAAATAGCGACAATGGTCTCAGCGACGCGCTCGATGTATTTACAATGAAGAAACCGTTCGGCCGATATCGCACCAGTACCTGTGCCAGTAAGTGTACAGCTCGCTGCGTGGCGCGGCTTGCCACTCCAATGTACACGGGGCGCGGGTGTCGACAACTGAGGGATTTAAATGTCCCGTTTATTTAAATGGAAATCATTTTCCTTTTTTTAAGTACTTTTTTATCATTCGTTCGGGTCCTTTCTCTAAGATTTTTTGATTTCTTTTTTTATTTTTTCAATATTACGTTTTGATAAGTTTACAAACGTGGATAAGATAAAATTAAATACCCATAGAAAATGAACATAAACTTTTACAGTTCACCTATATCATTGATGTCTCTTTTGTTGCAGGATCGAGACGAATCCACTGTTGGCGGCAATCGTTCCTGGCGATCATTGTATTAGTACAAGTGGACCTCATCGTGTAATTATATTATTATTACATTCATTGTACTTTCATTTTGTTACACCTCTTCATTTGATTACACCTAGAATTTATGACAACACATTCATTTCTTGTTTGTAAAGTTTTAGATTCGTCTTCCTGTGAATGTGATCGATGTTTAATTTTAATGTTATTTAATGTAAAATTGAAACATATCATCCCGAAATTGTGACGTCATATCCCGAACGAAGAATGTATGTGAGTGATCATTTTATACAAATACGAACGATGTTTGGTTCAAATACCAGTGTAAGGTGTAGATGTAAGGTTCCATCTTATTTTTACATACTATACATATTTAATACTAATCTGGAAATCGTAACAAACCTTAAATCATCTCTTGTTACATTTCTGAAAGTTAAGCATACAGCCTATTTGCTCATTAAAATGTAAATCAAAAAATGGTGAACGTTCGAAACAGCTGAGTTGACTGTGCTGGCTTCTGGCTGTTTGTTTCCGCAGAGAATTTGAAATAATCTGCAAAACGTTCGTGATTCAATGGAATACTATTTGAGATTCCTCCATCAGTGCACACGGGTTTCCACAATAGCTCGATGTAATTATTCATGAACCTCGTTAACCTACTCGGTATTTCCTACTCCCATTTCCATTTTAAATTATACATTACGTATTATACGTGCATTGTCCTTCCGCAGACGACTAGTCTGCCGGCACACGAATATTTGTGATTCAGTGCTTTGCGTAGAATAATCCTCATGAAATTGTGCCAAAGATAAGATCTTCAAAGTTATTTATACTATACACAATATTCCTTTCAGAAACTTAATGTAGGTTCCAACTCCCTCTTGTGTTATCTCACTAATAAATAAACTTTATGTACATCTTGTGATTTGTTTAAATAGTATATCCAAGCTTGCTATTCACGCTTGTCAAATTGTAAATATAAATTTAATGCACAGTAAATAAAAATAACGAAAATTTTAAACGTAATATATCTTCGTATCTGAATATTATTTGTTAATTCGACCTAATATAGATATATTAAAATATGTTAATGTATAAATTATAAATATCTTTTATTAAAAATAAGAGATATATCACTAGTTTATATGTATACCCTTATTGTACAGTTTGTGTGATTTTGAAAATGTAAATAAATGCATTATAATAAAATTAGTATTAAAAGGAGAAGATTTTTACTGAAACCAGTCTGAAAAGTTCCTTATATACAAGTCGTATTTTGAAAGGAGGGAGCTATGGAGCCGGCGTGTGGGAGCAATGGAGCGGCTGCAGCGGCCTATTATACGGAGACACGTGATAGCGATAAACGTTTGAAATAATTAAAAGTGCGCGCCGTCCGCCGCCGGGTCGCGCTCAGACAATCTTATCGCCGCTCTCACTCACTGACAGACGTTATCGCCATCCGAGAATCTATGGCTCGCTTTAATTGATTCCCTACTTTCAATAGCTCTGCAATCGGCTCTTTGTCTTTTTCTAATCGAAATTCAGCCAAAGTAGGAGGGAAGCTAACGAATTTTTCTTGAAACAACCGACCGATCGGAAGCTGAAAATAAATACTGTTTGTTAAAGTGGCTCGTGGCAGTTGGAAAAACAAGTGGCGTTAAAACAGAAAGCTTAATGGTTGGGGGCCGACGATACAAATATATGGCTAATGTTGATAGAAACACTCGCACAGTATCGGGGCTGTAATGTGCTGCTTTATTTATCCCTTCTATGATGATACACCAACCAATTGAGTTGTTTGTAAAGTATTTATTTTCATACAAATCGTTACATTTTTGAACACACTTTATTCAGCTTTATAATACGACACGCTATCGCTAGTAACTCAACTAGCGACTGCTACTTGGGTTCGAATTCTATGTGTGTCTTCTATTCATGTTTTCAACAAAGTGTTATTTTGGAACCTAGTGTGACACGTAAATAACCAGTAATGAGTGCGTTAACTACCTGCAACCGGTAAAAAGCCAGCCCTCGAGACAAAAAGCAAATAAACTCTAACTTATAACTCTCGAGAAGTCCGTGTTACGTTTCATAGTTATTATGTGCACCTTCGAGAAAGAAATTTCACTTCCCCGAAGTGACATGATGAAGTGTAGTTGATCCTGTATTACATGTGCGGGGCTCCAAGGCTCGGTCCGCCGACACTTGTACCATTTCTCGCTCCACTGCCCGCCTTATCTCGCGTTACGATACGGGACCTTACTTACGATTCCGCTGAAATACATATTCTGTGAAATATTATTTTTCAGACGAACGAGTTTATAATGTAAGTTGTAGATTGTAGACCGTGTCGTGTAGTTTAATATTTGTGATTGTGAATAATACCTGACTGCTTAAGATTATTTTAACATCAGTTTAACTTTTTTAGTTCATATATTTTGATGCTTCCAAAAAATCGAATGACCAAAAAATCTGACTTATTTTTAATATTGTGTTACTACTAACATATACCTAAGTATATATACGTACAAGGAATGATCATATCCAGAGATCTCGATACACTGTAGCTTAATAACTTAGACGACACTTGCATTTGGACATCAAACATAATGTATCCTATCCCTATATACTATATATAACTATATAGTATACTTTAAAGCCATTCACTTAAAAGGTGTTTGTTACAAATGTATAGTTACCACTATAAACACATACAGAAACAGTCGTAGGCCCTCCGCGGCCGTCACGTTCCCAACCCTTTTTCTTCATAATACGAGAACACTTTGGGCGTAATATTTCATATTTAAAAGCAATATCATATTTTTCCTTCGGGTGCGGTCTTGTTACTTTTACGAGTTACTTGTGCTCGGGCACTCGATGGTTCTGTCTATTGTGACGTAATATTATACACAAACAGTGACAATATCTTATATTGACATATTATAGTGACAGCATCTTTAAAGTAAAACCGTTATTAAACGGAAATTTTAATGGATTGAGTTAATGCCATCAAATATTTTAGGCTTTATAAATAGTAAATTTTTTGTAAATACTCAATTCATGAAAACTTTCGTTTAGTAACGGTTTTACTTTAAAACTGCGATATGACAATTTCAAACGTTTATGGTTTTTTTGTTTAATGTGGGAAAATCATCCCGTGACTCCTCCCGCCTTGAATGATGCAAGAAGGAGTGTCAAATTCTTACTGCCAAAAACCCCGATCCTCCTGCTTCGAACCGGAGCTACGGCAACCAATTGGTCTTTCGCAGCTTCGAATCGGGCATCGTTCTTCTGAGCCCCGTCTGTGGTGGTCTGATGACTGTTTGAGGCAGGCGTGGAACGCGACGCGCCGTACGCTCGAGTCTGATTCTGGTCGGGTGACGAGCTTGCGAGCTACCCTTGCTTCGTCGTCCACAGATCCTGATCTTAAGGTGGCGGCTTACAGTGGCCGGAGATCGTCTCATAATCCGATAAGCCTAGTTTTTCAAACGAAATTTTATAACTTACTTTTTAGTTTAATAGGTATTGGCAAACTCATTTTCTTTCATTCAATTCATTCGTATTATATTTAACTATTAATGTTTTTTAACCTCAACTTTTACTACAAATATTAATCTTTCACTTATTATCTAACAAAAGTCGTGCCTTAAACAAAATGTATACTGATGCACGAATATCGAGATGTGGTAGTCGCCACATACTTAATTAGGTTATTCTAGGCAATACTTAACATCTAATTGCACTTGCTTGACCCTGGAATCGATTAAATAGTCCATAACAACAAAGTCTTCGTAGTTTTCTTACTGTGAGTTTTCTTTTTAGTCGTCCAAATGTATTTGTTACACTTGGCCTTGCCGCCAGGGCACAGCAGGAACGGCTCGTCGTTGTCGTCCGAGTCAGGCTTCACTCCGCCAGGGTAGGGAGGCATCGTGCTGGTAGTGCTCTGTGTGGGCCCGTTGACGGGTGGGGCGGTACTCGGTTTGTTATTGTCATTTGTCTTGTTGTTATTCGTCCCGTTGTTTAGCTGCAATAGGAGCGGGTAGTCGTGCTCCACTCTGGGATAGAAATACGACTGTAGTTTCGCTTGCGGAGTCACTTGTTGCATCAGGCGCGGTGTCGCTGGAAGCCTGGGATTCTGGGTCCCGAATCTGGGTGCTATTGTCATATTTTGTTTATAAATACTTCCCGTTAAATAGTTATTGGACGGATTATATGCACTTTGTGGTCTTTGAACAGTTTGCGTTGCCATCGTTTGAGGTACCATCAGTCGAGGCGACCTTGGCTGAAGCATAACCATTCGAGTTGTGATCATGGTTTGTGGCGACATCTGCCTCAGTACTGGTGGCCTCATGGCAGGGTACCTCTGCACGGGTGGCGTGGGCATCATCTGTCGCGCTGTGTCCGGCCACCTTCGGATCGTGTAACACACCCGCTGGTAATTGTTATGTAATGCTGATAATTGTCTATTTTCTACGCAAGTAGTAGGTTGTTCGCAGCCCGGTAAAGGAACAGGTCCACACACAGGTCTCTGTCTCGGTAGTAGTTGTACTGGCTGTGGCAACGGCTGGCCGGGTCGGACAGGTTGCATCATATTTGTTCTGTAAACATTGGACATGTCCATCGCGGAACGGAATGGGAACACGTTGGCAGACACCGGGCACTCAAAGATTGCTATGTAGTAGAGTATAATGCACCACATCACTTATGTATGTCCCACAGCGGACATAATTTTAGAAAATGCTAATACAAGAGAAGCCGCCACGCGACTACAACGATAAAGTAAGTAAATTATAATTTTAAACCTAATCCGCTGGCACACTGTTGTGTTTTGCTATGAAAATAATTTAATCAGTTTTATTTGACGCATTTCTATTTTAATTTTCTCTATTTGTAAGATGCGTTCGCATGAACGATCGATTGTAATTAATCTTAATATACATTCACCGATGATATTAAATATCTCGAAAATCGAAAACTCAATAACATTTTACTTTTGATTTAATAAATTCTCGGTAATATTGTCCCGAAATATCCATCGTATGTACGCTGGCCCCTCCCTTATTACAGCAAACGCATAATTAGCAAAACTGAATAAAAGTTACCGGCACAAGGATAAAAGTCGTAATACCATACTTAAAATTAAAAATGCAAAAACTGAAGAATATTCTGTCATGAAATATAACCAAACAAGGCAATGATTAAAATAAGACGAAAGGTTCTAGATAATTAAGGTTTTTCAGGTGGTAAGTAGTTAGCAGATATCCGCAAGAGGCTCGTGGTTCAGACCTCCTGCAGCAGCGTAGTGTCAAGAGACGTTGTTATTGAGTTCCTTTTATCTGGGTTGCTCACGGTTATTACGAGCCCCGTCTCACGGTTGACAAGGGTAAATCCCCTTTCTTCATATTCCCGCGCACGTTTCCCACGCCTGACGGTTTTTATGTCCGTCCGTTACAATAAATATAATACCGTGTGCATGCCCAATATTGACAACGTTTACAACTTTACAGTTACACGTATCTATTTATTGGAGACGTCGACCGATGTTTATACAGCTCAGCATCAACTGCTCATTGGTTATTGGTCTCATTCTGCCTAGTATTATAAACCTTATCATACCTCAATCTAAACATACCTAAATTATATAAATCAATTTGTCAATTGGAATGTTGAATTGAAAGATAAATAAAAGGGAAACCTTTACATTAAAACTACAACTCAAAAAATATTATTTTACAAATCAGAGATTTGATATTGATCACCAACCCCACAGAAAAACGAATTAAGATTTGTTTAAAAAATATATCATTAAGTAGTAACAGTATGTGTAAAGCAGTATTATAAGTACAATTTCAAACTCGTAATTCACTATGCATAGAGTTCAAATTACAATAACTTAATGAACAAATCTTCTTGACTTGGAGAATTGTCCAGAGGCAATGACTGTTTTGTTGGGAATGGCGAAAGGAATCGACGAGTACCGAGCCGTTGTTCAGGAGTCCGCATTAGTAAGGGCTTGGTCACAAACTGTGACATGGTCAGTGGTGTGGTACGAGGTGTGCCACGCGAAGACACCTTCATAGTCCTTTCAGAGTACAAAACCGGCGTCAAGTCTTTGGTAGTCCTCAGAGCATTAAACCGGCTGTGACCTGGCAGTAGCACAGTGTTGCAGATCACCTCCGGGTTCTCATTCTGATGCAGTATCTCTAAATACGGAGGGTACACTTTCTTATAGCAAGTAGTTGGCATTTCACAACTCAAGTCTCCGAATGGCACTGGACCACATATAGGCTTTTGTTTTGGAAATTCATTTTTCGTGGTCGGCGTCGTAGTTCGTACGGTTTCTGTGTTCTGGAATACCATGAGCGGCACCTGTGGTCGACGCCGCAGTGAGGATGGAGTCGCTGACTGCAGGACGTGTAGCATTACTGTACAGACCAGTACAGCACCCCGCATCACGCTGTTGAAAGCATATTGTGTACTGAACTCTACAATCATAAACCATGGCGACATGGCGATCAGAATAACAAGTATGTTTTGTTTTGTTTTATGAT